TATGTAGAGAATCTCAGGCAGCACTTAAAGCAATGAATGCAATGCGCCCTTAAAGCCCGAACGCATACCTCGTTTATATAGAAGCTACCAATGATTGCCTAAATTTTGAATGTGCAATAAGATTACTATGTATCCCAGGCCATAGCGGCATCCAAGGAAATATGGAGGCGGACAAGCTAGCCATAAACGCCCACACTTGTGACGGGGTTCAAATGATATCTTATGAAAGTACCGACGTAAAAGTTAGGATAGATAATCACTCCAAAGAAATATCATGAGATATATGATTTACTGGTCGAGATAGAAACTGTATATTATATAAAGTAGACCCAAATGTCCTTTTACCAATTAAAAATGACCTTCTAAGATAGATCGAAGCGTTATTACACCACTGTGACTGTAGATTCGAGACAGAAACAATAGAACATATTTTCATCGACTACCTTCGCTTCAACCAGAATCCATCACGACCTAAAGAACGACTGAACCTTATTGACAACTGACCATTATCTCTCAACAAGGTACACCGCAGCCTAACACAAGCTCTGAGAAACAATCATTTTCGGCAATCCGACGATTCCTGGAAAAGGCTGATATTCTAGGTAATACTAAAATCTGGTGTACTATATGATGCAATATATATCTGTGCAAGTAAATGATACTGAATAACTTTACATGCCCGGTGAGAATGGTGGTGTGATAAGGGATGTGACATGTGAAGTGAATACATGAAAGGATAAAGCATCGAGGACGGGGACGGAATTATTTGTTTTCCCCCATCGAAAACGTTAAAACCCTTGGGGGGAGCGGTCTTATATTTTGTGACATTCTATGTTTTTGCTAAAAATGAAAGAAGCTCTGCCTCTGCACCCGTCCGCGATGTTTTATTTCTTTATGTATTTTAAATATTTAATCAGCAACGATAGATACATTTTTTTTTTAAATCAACCATCCGGGAATAGGTGAATATTAACACCGTACTCGGACCGATTTGCTTCAAGTGCGGTCAGTTTCAGCGAGAGTGAGAACGCTTTCTATTGAGATAAAAAAAAAAAAACATTGGATTGCAAGATATTTTTTTTCTTTTTGAATTAATCATGTTTTCCAAATAGGGCCTTTAATAACATGTTTTCTTTGCACAAATACTGTAGCAAAAATGCTCTATAACAGAACGGGCCCTGTTTCCCGGTTTTACGCGAGTTAAAAATTATCAAAGAAGAATACAGAGGAATGCGGCCACTGAACTACATCTTTAAAAAAGTAGCAGGTTAGTTTTTACAGGTTGGCGAGAACAGAAGTAGAATGAAGGTACACTATCAAGCCGTTCTTAGATGTCGAAAAGCTGAGGTAGTTCGGTTTTCACCTAAATATCCTCAACGCGCCATAGGTGTTAAAGGGACACTGAAAGGAACACAAATAGATATAAAGCGTGGCACAAGCGAATCTGACCCGGTAAAACGAGCCAGAAAAAATTTGCGCCTGGACATAAAAAGCTCACATTTTCACCAAGTGTGCACTGAACAGGTCAGTTTTACCTACGTTAATATCAAGGCATAGTTATCTTTCTCTAAAAAGGATTATAAAAACTTGCCCAAGTCAGCGCTGGGTGCGCCTGCAGACGATCGAGTTGGCAACAGTAATAATTTGCAGCTCTATATCCCTGCACTGATGCACTGTACAAACTGTGGTGCCCTCATTTTGGGTAGTACAAGCTCACTTGACTGGGCATCACACTACTTATGGAGCCTTCACTGAGTTTTTATCTATCTGTGTAGTGCCGAAGAACGGAAGAACACCTTTCGACGTCCGAAATCGACCAGATTCAACGCCTCAAGACAATCGAATGTGGCAGATTCATGCCACCACCACTAAAGTACGCAACTCTTATCACTGCTGGATGACGTCCCTACCTCGGTCGTCTCAACGTTTTGTTCCTTCGGAATCAATAGGTGCGGCGCGCAAACGGAACATCCAGGTAGTGTCGTATTTGAACGGAGACTGAACGGGACACTCTGGACTGATGTTATGCCTTATGTTCAAAGTGAAAATGTGTTGGTACTCTTTGAAATTGATCTAAATATACATTTAAATGAACGCCACTAATTACGTAGCCAATAACAAAATTGAATCCCAGCACAAAAGTTTGTGAAACGCCGCATAACCCTTTTAACTGGTACGCCATTCTTCGAGGTGAACTGTGTTCTCGTCATTAGATGTAGACTTTCAGTCAATTGATGATCTGGTCGACCTTCACATGTGGCTAAGCTTAAGCAATAAGTTCAGAGCCGAGATGTGGTTGTAATGTACCCATGATCCGAAAAGCGTTTCATTATATAATCTGCAGGGCGATTAGGTATATAATATATTAAAGTTGTAGATATAAAAAGTACAAAATAATAAAATAAGTTTTAAAATCATTCTCCACAATGACAAAGTACCAACGATGAACATCAGTTGAAACGCAATGAAATTTAATGTTCATATATGTTCTGCGTGATACCAAGATACAAGCTGTTAAATTGCCCGCAATTAGTTTTAATATTTTTAAGTCTTTTGGGGGACATGCGCTTTATCATCTCAACATTTTTTCGGTTACCCCTCCCAGCCGCTTCTTCGCCTTCCAGCATTTGTTTAGATGGGGCAACCTTTCTTTACGTCAACAGTCCACGTCTCAATTCCGGTAGTCACACTGAAACGCATGCGAAAGCACTGGAGAGTGACTAACAAATAAACAGAGAAGAACTAAAAAAAAATCCCCACGTCACCCGAAGAGAATATAACCCAGCTCCTCAAAAAGTTTGAACCAGCCGCTCAACAACTGTAACTTGAGGGGAGAATCGTACAGCGAAAGCTTCTTGCTACGCGAAAGGTGCCTAAAGGATGGATCGCGCATTTGCGTTTGATATTGGCCGACCGCATTACAACGCCTTGTGACGCTTGCCCATTCGCGTCACCTACCCGGTAGCTAAGGAACCCCTCCGATGGGCGTAGAACTAGACCGATGGTTTTGCGCTATTTGCGAGATCAAATGTGCGCGTCGTTATTGCGAAATGGTCGCTTATGACACCTACAGAATCATTTCGAGCCTACGATAAAACGATGATACTAACAAATTGGGTAATACACGCAAACTGCAAGTGCATTCAAAAGTAAGCAATCAATTTACACTGAGACCCTTTGGTAACAGGGCGTTCGCTCCCCAGGAAGTGTCGCATACGCAATTTCGAAGCTACCAAGGTCCCCCATGAACGCGACGCGAACGACATGCGCGAAATTACGAACACGATGGATGGCACCCGGTTGTTACATCTTATAACGTAAGCAGTCAAAAGCGGTCGCAACACGGTTGGTCACACCCAAACGTCAATGTGTGAACCCGTCTTCGGGTACATGAGCCGTTCTTTTCTTATCGCGCGCAGGCGCCGGTTGTAGGACGAGGCACCCACTGGATGTGCCGCAGTCTTCACAATGCCTCGCGCGAGGAAGGAGCGGACTGAAGGGGAGACAGCTGCACAGATATGGCTAAGGGCGGGGTACAACCAACTTCACTCGATGAAAACGTGCGAACATTTGGCGCGTAATTGCTCGCTAGCAATTTATTAGGCGGAACATCGCCTTCATAAGATACGAGCCATGATATCGCATTGTTGACGTCTGCAGTGAGTGACTGCAGAAACACAGGTCCGTTTTTCTTCGAGTCAATTTCTATTTGCGGTAAAGTGCTGCGGTGTAATGTGGTTTTCCATCGTATTAAGTCCCTCGAAGACGAAGACATACTCATCGTAGGAAGCTGCGTGTAGACTGTTTCGAATTTTTCCTTCGCAAAATTTCCTTCACCGAAAAACTTGCCCTTTGCACTTGAGGGTTCCGGAATATTTAAGGCGACACGTAGCTGTCTACTGATTATGTTACACAGCGAGACTGTAGAGGCAGTCGGGGCTCATAAGCGAATGCATTAAAAAGTAAAACACCTAGCCTCTTAAAACACCGACAAAAAGCACCTCGGCCAAAACAAAACAGTTTTGACTCGTTTCGTTCGCAGCAGTACATCCTTGTACCCTATCGGACCTCGTAATTCGATGTGGGTATTTTATTGACTAAGACTAAGGCGTTGCTACGTGGGGAAAGGTGAACAAAAAATTGAAAAGAATAAAAGACACCATGCATGGAAACAAGTGCAAAGGCCTTTTCTCATAAAGCCTCCATGGTGCAGTGCCTGGCACTGTTAACGCGAGCACAACATCTGCGCTTTTACGCGTTTCTCTTCTAAAGAGTATACGGGCAACAAAATTGGCCACTTATAAAAGGTGGCAGGTTAAGAGTGAATCGGAAGCTCCTCCCACCTCTTTCCACTTTAGTAGAGCGAACGCTGGAAAGGAGGTCGCCTCTTCTCCAGCGTCCGCTCTGCTAAAGTGGAAAGAAGAGGGAGAAGCGTCCGATTCACTCTTAACCTGTCACCGACTACAGATTAGTTCCCGTAATGACAAATTTCCACCGCATTAGTAATTCCAATGACAAACGTTTAATAAAAAAATTAATTAAACTGTCTAAAATTTTTGTTTGTGTTAAGAGTATGGCACCATGTACATATATTCAGTAAATTGCTTCGTTTTGGTCTTGGTAACGGTTCCACTTAGTAAATAAAAGCACTTTTTTGTTTTAGTCCCCGACAGCGGACAACGAGAGATCTGTGTCTATTTTATAGAATCGCAGCCAGCTTACAGAACAAGAAAAACAGTTTCGCGTTTCGATCAAGTAGAGAAAGGCTAATGTCATTCGTATCGGCCCTTTTTCGTCTTGGACTCTGCGGGGATATTCGTCAATGCTACGCGCTTCTCATTATGCGCGACTCCCATCTGAATATTTTACCAAAATGTGCCAAAAGTAGCCGAATTGTTCTTCCGAGCCCAGGTGGCCTTTTAGTAACCCGTAATATGCGTTTATTGTAGTGAAACCAATCCAATGGAGGGTCGTTGGGTGTGGCGAAAGGCGAGTCTCACCTGCGAGACCTCGGTGAGCGCCGGAGCTGGCGCGCTCCAGGGGTCCGCGGCCCAGCCACGCGAGTTGGACACCGCCGCCGAGATGAGGAGCACGAGCCCCGTCAACAGACCCGCCTGCATGTTGAGGACTCGTTCAAAGAGAGAGACGCACGCGAAGCAACTTGGGACTCCGGACGCGAAGAACCGCTCTTTTGTTGCGACTCGGGTCGGAGAAGACGACCGGACAAAAGCACGGAATGGGACTCGGAGACGCAGCGCCGATCAGCTTGAGCACATCTGATGCGGACGACACGCGCCCGGTTTTTAAAAAATCGAACGAGGGCTCGGGGCTGCCGCGCAGGCGCAGAGTCCGCTCTGCCCTGGGTGCGCGTGCGCCGATTCTCGGAGCAGCCAATCGCCGGCCGGAACGCGGGGCTTCGGATTTTTGGCTGCGGAGACTGCATGCGGACATGCCTGCCGTGGCGGGATGCGGCTGCCGCCGCCTGTCAGAGGAAAAAAAAAACGATGCCGCCGATGACGTCTCTGCTTTCTCGCTGCGGTGGTAGCACACCGAAAAAGCCTCGATACCATCGACAACGTCGGGCCATCCTGGTCACCGTGTAGGTTAGGGAACAGGCTCGTACAGGAGGCTCCCTCGGTTGACCTACGCCTCATTTACACCGATGGAGAGAAATGTTTTCTGAAGGTTTCCAGCTGAACGTAGAAGTAAAAACCAAAGAGTGGAGAAAAAGAGACACACTCTTTTTCTCCACTCCTTGGTTTTTACTTCTACGTTCAGCTGGAAACCTTCAGGAATCATTTCATACCAACCGGCTCAGCTCCAGGCAGTCACGAGAAATGTTTGTTGGTTGAGCCGAAAAAATGTTTTTATTTGAACCGGGAGTCATGCCAAAGGACGTGCGGAGGAAAAGAAAACTTGAACCCGCATGCTTCCCTAGCAATGCCAATTTAAGGGTGTAACGATCGTTTAAACTGTCAGTTATTAGGCGCTTAGAAGGTTCTCCGCGTGCCTCTAAGAAGTCCCAGGTGATGCCTCGAGTAGGAGGGTTTCGCCCGTTGTTGGTGGCTTTGGCGGGGCTTACGATGCTCATCATTTCAAGCTTGGAGTAATTAACTTTTGTACGCGTTTATTATGTTGTATGCAATAGGTATATGAGCGGCGTGGCAGCCTTTTCATGAAAGCGAATTGATCCGACCAATAAATAGGGAAATAAATCCTAATGCATTCTATAAGGAAATATGTCTTTCGCTTCTTCTTAGACATAGTGGCGGGCATATTTAGAAAATTTTGACATGCATAAAGGGATTTCGCCACTTAATAGGAAAAGGACCAAGAAAAACATAAGGGAAGAATGGGAGAGAAGGCGTTTGTTCCTTCAATGTTTGCTTTGATCTGTGATCTGTGATCTGTGTTGATTTTGTTCGGAGCTCACGGGCAAAGAGCGCGACGAACTGTCAACAAAGCCACAGAGCTGGGCGCTGCGTTGACTGCGTTGGTCAGTATAGGTCGCGTAAGTGACGAGGGGCACTAAGGCGGGTCAGCGTTTACCTGCGCAGGCTCAGCTACGGCGCAGGTTGCGCAGCACCTTTCGAAGCGTCGGAAACCGCGATCTGGCGCGCGCGCGGGATCACGATGGAAACGTATATTCTAAAAAAAAAACGAGGCTGCAACCTATTGTTCGACGGCGCAAATGCGCGTATTTTTCACGTCATTTTTTTACAGAGTAGCTTAGACACTGCTACTGGCAAGCTGGGCTTGAAGTGATTTAATTATAAACTTAAGAACAATTGTACTGTGTGAAAAAAAATCGTATGTCCACGCGCGCTAGGTCACAGTCGAGTCAGCGCGCGCTTGCATCTGCACGAAGCCATAAAATACTCGAGCGAAGCCCTCAAAGATCAGCGAACGTGCCCTGAGGAGCTTTTTTCGCCATGGCTAGAATAGACCCATCTGACCTGCCAGTTTGACTGCGCCACCGCTGCCGCAATGCGTCGAGGGGACGTTAGTCTTTCTGCACGTGCGACAACCTCGCTGGAACTCTCCGCGTGTAGGTCAAGGGACGGCACGGCCCATTTAGTCGACTGCCGTCTGCCTCCTAGGAACTAAAGTTATCATGGCGCCACGCATGCGCCGAACGATTGATGATGTCGGTCTATTACGAGCTACATTTTTACGCTGCATCACATTTCTTATTTTATTCTTTTATTTGTTTCCCGCTGTTTTATCATCCCGCTGTTTTATCATCCCTCATCGCTGTCTATGTTTGCAAGGCAAGGACCGCATCCTGGTACGCTAGATCCTCCATGTGCCCCCCGGATTTACAACTCATTTGCGGGTGGATGGCTCCGTCTCCGAGGCACTCCAGCAGGCTGTGTCGCATCTTGTGTTCGGAGTGGTGGCACCAGGTCCGCTTTTTTAAGGACTGCCTCCGTATCGCTTGTTCCCGGGGGCTTACTCATCCTCAAGCATCCCGCCTTTTTCAAGAATGGTCAAGGACCACTGCCCAGGTTACTGAGTTTCTTTGGACCCAGGTGCGCCTTACACTGCCTCCCAAGAAGAGGACTAAGGCCAAAGAAGGTAACGTTGTCATCCTCGGGGATCTTCAAGTCCCAGACAGACACCTAAAGATTTTGAAAAAAGGACCTAAGTTCTGCCTCGAACCCATGCTCAGAAGAGTAGACAAGTTGGTCATGTCGAGATCCATCTCACGAGCAACACCGGAAGAGGACAGACCAAGGTGCGTTGCTGATTGTGTGGACGTCCTGTGGAGATCCGAAGGAGGGTGCCGAAGAACCAAAGGCCTCGAGCCCGTGATTGACTTTTTCGCGTCCAACAGCATGAACATAATGTTGTCCGACAAAGAAGGGTGCTTTGTCATCATGCCCGAAGCCACGTTCTCCGAAAAAGCGACAACAGCCGTACTAAAAAACTTTACAGCGGTCTCCGATCGTCCCGCCAAGGTGAAGGAATGCACCATCAAATTTCTTCACCAACTGAACCTGACCAGCGTTGCTGCAGGAGCAAAGAAAGGAAAAAACCTCACTTTGGACGTATTTTTCGCGGCAAAAACCCATAAGCCAGGAGTCCCCTTTCGCACCATAGTGTCCGAGCGGAATTCTTGGTTACACGCAATATCGGGCTTTTTGCAAAGGCACCTCGACTCCCTACATATTGTAGACCCAATGTGCGTCCCCAATTCCAAGGCGGTTGTTGACTTTCTAAATGTCAGTAACCCACACGGGTGCAGCGCGTTCAGCATCGACGTTGAAGAATTATATTATTCCATGTCACACGACGACCTCATGGTTAGTGTCAAAGAGTGCATCACAGAACACAACGACGAAAGCGCCTTCAGGACGCGATGCGGGATTACGGTAGAAGACTTTCTAGAACTCCTGTCCGTTTATTTAAAGTCTACATTCATCGGATGGCAGGACAACGTGTACATACAGAAGTCTGGCGTATGCATAGGGTCTTAAGTAGCTCCTGTGCTCAGTAACATCTTCCTGGGCAAGATCGATCGGGATCTTGAACCCTGGTTAGAGAAAAACACCAAAAAAGTGTTTAGGTACGTAGACAATTATTTGGTGTTCGTTGAGAGGGCTAATTTCCAGCAGAAGCTTGACGATGTGCTGAAGATCTTCACGGAAAAAGGGCTAGGACTTCACTTCACCCATGAAGCCCCAAAACAGAACCTCATCCAGTTCCTGGATCTCCGCATCGAAGTGGGGGACGATCATGTTTGCTGGTGTTACAGTCCCAGAACAGCGAAGGCTCTTCTTAACTTTCAATCAGCCCACTCCAAACTTGTCAAACAAGGCATCGCTTTTTCCTGTCTGAGGACTGCTCTAACAAGCACATGCATCCACAATTTGAATTCCAGCTTCATGTCCCAAATTCAACGGCTCAAGGATTCGGGATATCCTAATTCGGTCATTTCTTCAGCTTGCGAAAAAATTGTCAAACACCTTAAAACAGATCCGGCGATCGAGCAATGTGACCTCGAGCAGAGAGAGAAAAAGAAAACCTCAGTCATACCGTACATCCACCGCCTTTCCCACGGACTCAAGAAAGTCGAATCAAGGTACAACGTGAATGTTGTCTTTTCTGCCCGTCACAAGCTCAGCTCTGTGTGCTCCGCAGTCAACAAACGCGCGAGAAATAACGATCCCAAGTCTCACAGCGGCTGCAGCATCAAACACGGAATGCAGTTTGTCGCTTGCATAGAAGACGTGGTCTACAACATTCCGTTTTCCTGCGGGCGTGCCTACATAGGACAAACTGGGCGTTGCCTCAACATAAGACTACGAGAACACCAGAGTTCTATGAAAGGAACAGCTCACACGCATCTCGCGATGCATTGCCGGGATTGCGGATGCCAACCCCTGTTCAACAAGACTACAGTGATGTTCCGACACAACCACAAACTAACCCGAGAAATGATGGAGACGTACCACATAACAAAAACCGGATCCTTGTGTGTGAGCCAGCCCACAGTGACTTTGATGAAGAGCGAGATCGGCTTTTTGGATCTCGGATAACTTGGCCGGTTTCGCATTGAGTGAAAGAAGAAGCGCCAGGGCCAAGGAGGGGCATGCCTGCACGAGCAGCAGCAGCATCACATGTCTTTTCTTTTCAATAGAATCAGTTGCTAGTTCAGCGCTTGTCCTGTGTTTCTGTGTTTCTCCTCTGTCTGTCCTTGTCCCAGTCGCGCTGTAAGTAATTATGAACTCTTACTAACTCGCCCAATTGTCCATTTTGCTAGGTTTCTTTTTACGTACTTTTTTCCTCCCAGGTAGACCATGTGTGCCGACCACTGACCTGTGGAGCCGACTGGCGCCGAACGAATTTGAGAAAAGCTAGCCAGTGAGTGGTTTTCGTGACCACCAGTACGGAAGGGCACCTGCGCCAAGGTATACTGTCAAGCAACGAGGGAGGGTTGACAGTCTCGTGACGCCACCAAACTGCCCTGCTATCGGCCGCGCAGAACGAATGGCGCGAAGAAAACGCCACGCGTTTTCTTATCTTCCCGTCGCCCACGTTTCACCTCAGTCAACCCAAAATGAATCGCGGCTGTACGTCGGGTGACTGCCGATTAGCGTGCCTAGATCGCAGACGG